TCCAGGCAGACGTGCGGTTGATCTAAATTTGTGGGACAACAGCATTCAGATATCTGCTTTCAATTTGTGTGCATGTTTCCCCCTGTTATTTTCCCTTTTTTATGACTGTATTAATTGTTAGCAGAAGTCTCTATGAAATGACTGAGCAATCCAACAATGGAATGTAGCAGATTAGAAATTATTGTTTTGCTTCATCTGAGAAACGTGTCAATACAGCCTAATTCTTATGTCTTGGGGACATTTGTGTAGTGATACGCCACTTAATTCTCAGCATGTGGGCACTAGCTGACCACCGGGACATGAACTGTCCTAACATTGATGCTTTTATCGACCCATTTGACACGATACTTGCAGAAATGATGAATCAAAAACTAACCCATCAGTAAGGGAAACGGGACATGTGGGAATTGGTATGTTGCACCTCACTAAGTCTTAAGGCATTAAGGCTAAGGATTAATCCAAAGAGGCTGTGAAGGGCATCAAAGCCATATCCTAGCCTCATGCCTCAGTGAGTTAGCAGCAGAATGGAGAGCAAAGGGCCCTGCGGTCTAATCCGGAGCATTGACTTACTATTTGGTCAGGTTTATTTCCATAAATTTCTTCTGACACACAATGCGATACTTCTTTCATTGAAAAAGAGAACTTTAAAAAAGTATAAATAAAATTACTAACCACTTAAGAATATGGTTTCAAAGGATATGAATAAAAGCCATAATTTTTAAAGCCTGTAACCATGAGTAATCTAGGCTGAAAGACCCTGACAGAGTTACAGTGAGACCAACACTGAGGCTTTGAAAGTAGTCAATTAAAGGAGATGGCATGGGTCTTTAGACTGAGATAAAGTGTAACGTGAACTAGTCGATCAAGAAATAACATGACGAGGAAATGCCTCTGAACCCTACCTAGTGCAATATAATTGCTACTGTCACCTCTGCAAACAGTTCAGGTGAATATACAACTTTCCACTGATCTAGAAAATGGATGGAATATTCAGTTTCTCTCTCTCTCTGTCTTTCTCTCTTTCTCTCTCTCTTACATGTTACCAATTGTTTTCAATCCTGATTGCATTTTAGAAATATCCAAGAAACTTTTAAAAATACTAATGCCTAGACTCATCCAGAGAAATTGAGGCAGAATCTCTAGAGGTGTGGCTGAGGCATGGGTATTTTTAAAACTCTCCAAGTGACACAAATGAGTATCCAAACTTGAGAGAATTTTGGAGGTTCTAATCAATAGCTTACTCAGTATAAACAGCAGTGTGAGATACATGAGTATATTATGTATCTATGAACAAATTCCCAGAGTAGATTACAAGCTCCCCCAAAATAATTTGTTCCATAGTAATATTAAACAGTCACTGCCAACTGCTTAGTAACTGTTTGGGGGTTTTATTTTGCCTTCTTTCCTTTTCCTTTTCTTCTCAACCAAAAAAGAGGGAAAATCCCTTATACTTTCTAAAAACAAGAAAAAAAGAAGATTGACTATACTACACTTATGTGTACATTTATTTATAGGGAAATGTTTCTGCATTATGCTACTAAGTGACAAATGATTGTCCGCATGGGTCAATCTTTTTTCCTTTATAGAATACAACTCTCAGCATCCATCTATAGAGTCAACTGCTATCTTCACTCACTGTTAAAATAAAGAGTCCTTCTTTTTCTTCCCTCTGTCCATACAGGCTAATAGCTGGCTATATTTACTTAATACAAAAGATGAAAATATAGTAACATAGCAAGAGCAATAAATGATGGCTGCTAATCTTTGGCCTCATGTACACTCCCACAAATGTTCGCTCAGAAAGTGTTTAAGAAATGTTTCCTGAGTGCCATCAGGTGCATAAGAGAAGATCATGTTGGATTCCCTGGAGCTGCTCCATAAATTTATACTCTGAGTCATTTTACATTGGTGAAAAGCAGATGGTAAGAAGGGATCAGACTTGCAAGAGATCTATTAACGCCTAGGAGCGTGAGAAAGTAAGGAGAACCTTCAAAACGTGATGCAGATCTGATATCCATGGAAGGACAGAGGAAAGGAAGGTAGAATGAATAAGAAGAGTCTCAGACTACATTGCAGTTCCAAGAAAGGTTTGGCAAAGCCAATGGGACATCCTAGAGCCAAACTCACCTGTTGGGACAGTCTTGTATTCACAGGAATGGCCTGCTTTCTTGGCCACACCAGGCTCTGTCCTGTGCTGGTAACAGTAACTGGAACGATCAGTCAACCATGATCCCTGTAATAGGAGATCTGAGTGTCATGTTTTTAAGGTTACCCCAGTCCGTCCCTGTGCTACATATATCCATTTCTCCATGGTGCTTGGTGGCTCAGCTCCACCATGGTTCCTATGGGCTTATCTTCCCAAAGAGAACCTTAAAAGTGGAAGGTTAGTGAGATGAATAACAGTCTCTCTCTTTGCAAGTGATCTCAGGGCTACAACTGGTACTCATACTTGCCCCTTCTCCAGTACCAATTCTAAATACAACTGACCTGATAAAATGGACCAGAGATCACCTGAATGTGCAGAAGTTGCACTACAGGAAAGGAACTTTGAAAGGATGAGACTTGGAGCTTATGTAGGGTGGCTGGCACTTCTGATGTTCCTCCTCTCTGAGAGGTGGAGCAACTGAGAGAGAGAGAGACAGAGATGAGAGACTTGGACTGTACAGCATAAACAAGTCCCCTTTATGCTGCTTCTAAATGTAATCAAATGGCTTTGCTCTGGGGGAGATAAGAAAATAGAGTCCAGATTTATTACATTAGAATGCAAGCAAATGGCACTTGAGCAATGCAGAATCTGTAATTTCCAAAGCCTGTTTACCATGCAATTATTCCAGTGGTCCCCGACCTTTTTGGCACCAGGGACCGGTTTCGTGGAAGACCATTTTTTCATGGATGGGGGGTGGGTGGTTCAGGCAGTAATGCGAGCGATGGGGAGATGGGGAGAGCAGATGAAGCTTTGCTCCTGCTGTGAGGCCTGGTTCCTAACAGGCTGTGGACCAGTCCATGGCCCGGGGGTTGGAGACCCCTGCTTTACTCAGATTTCTAGTAATCTTTGCTTGGAAAGCTGTGACATTGCAGAAAAACGGGACTATTCACAAAGCCTTCTTTCGCACCATCACTTCATCTTGACAAGGTGACTCAAACTTTCATTCCTGAGGTTCTGAGCTCTTGCCAATTATACAGGTCTTAGGCCAAGTCTTCAGAGTATGTTTGGACACTATTACCATGGGTCCAGGGAGTATCAAGGGGTGTTCAAGTATGTCACCTGTGTTCCATATGGCTTCCTCTTTGACTGCATATTGTAAAAACAGCCCTAATCCCTCTTACTGATCAAGATTGATTACTCCTACCATTATGGTGACTTTTCTGTACACCTACTGATCGTCCCAATTTTCCTGAAACTACGGGGGACATGGTGCCATATAAAGCATGTGCTCTGATTTAGTGCAAACACTACATCTGGAAGGACAGCATTCTGTCCATTCAGAGTTTGCCTCCAAGGTGGTGATTTATCCATGTCTTTAGAAAGCCATTCTAAAGCCAGAAATTGTGTTTCCAAGTCAATGGGTCATGATTTATCCAGTCTTAAACTCCAGACCCCTTGATCAACACCATTAAAATCCAATTCCAGGGTTGCTTCCTTGACTCCTGCTTGTACTCACTAGCTATTTTTGCAATTTCTCCAATATGTAATCTCTTCTCTCTTTTTTCAGACCTTGTACATCCTTAGCCAAGTTATGCTGAGATTTAAACTAGTCCTCAGCTTGTGGGTCAGCAAAAGTGTTATTGGAAGCTACTGAAAGGTCACAAGTCCCTTATGGTAGACAAGCTTTTGCAACATCTTCCAAAAGGAGAAGTGCTAGCTTTGGATGAAAAAATGTGGGACATCTCTTTAAACTCATAGTGTTCAGGAGTCTGCAGAGTCATTCTCAGACATTCCTCCAGAAGTTCCATCCACACTTTAAGGTTCAAATCTGCCTTGTCAGGGTATTCAAACATCTCTTGATCTCCACTCTGACAGATCTTTGGTATACAGCTCAGCCTTTACTGTTGGAGGTAAGGGTTTTTTTGTAAGTTACTAAAGAGGTCTCTAACTGCTTGCTAATTGCCCTTTGTTTCTCATTATCCCTCCACAAAGAGTCAATACAGATTAGCAGTAACAAACAGCTCTGCTCTATTTATAGTCATAGTTCCCACCATATCTTACAAATGCCAGAATCACCTACAACTTCAAGGATATTTCCCTCCACAAGTTTATTTCCCTGGGTCTTAAACAGGGAAATATTTAGTTAGTGGGTAATCATCTTGTGCTCAGAACTGTCTATGCCCTAAAACTACTCAGAATGACGTACTTTTCACCAGCACAGGGGATAGTGAATCAATCTCAAATCCTCATTTTAACACCAGTTTTCTTGAACTATTCTATTTTCCATTTACATTAGTGTGGGTTCTCCAAGATGTTGAAGTCAAAATGGGATTAGAGATGAAAGTGGGATGGAGGGGCAGCAGAAGAAAGTGGAAAGAATATTCAGCTTATGATATAAATATCAATCTTGTGTAAGAAAATGGTGATTGGAATTAAGGTTATTGTAGGACATGTTGCAGATTACAGTACAATTTGAAGAATGCTGGGGTTGGGTAGCTGAGTGCTCTCAAGACAAAGTTGTGCCTTGGAAGTGCCCTGCTTTTCACTGAAATGGGTCCACCTTAGGACTTCCTCTGTGCTCAGTCATTGGCTAGGAACAGGACATAGAATATATGGCCTCAGTGTTACTGCAGTGGTGAATCCACAGGGACAGAAACTAGTATCATTGGACAGTTATGTTCCACAGAGCATGAGATCTGACTGGTCTATTTTCATAAACACCTCTACATGTAAGTCTAAGTAAATTGTATTCAGGTAGGTTCCTGTTACCAAAACCAAAGAAGGAAATTCAAAAGGTGCTAAGTAGACCCTAGTATTGATTTATACAGGAGAACTCCATGGTAAATCAACTTACCTCTTGCACTGAGAAGAATCAACACCATCTCTTGGTGAGACTTCTGGGATCACACTTAAAAAAAAGAGACAAAGAGAAGAATTTCACTTGACACATATTGGGTTCAGGGTACTGGTGGGAATCTGAAAAATATTGAAAATGTCCAAAAGAGTTGGGAAAGTAGAATGCAAGCTGGATAGACAATTTAGGAAAAGTAATTCCAATTTTTATCCTCTAGGTGCTTTAGTGAAATGCATAGTAGATATAAAGACACAGAAGAATGATGTAAATATAGTGTGTGTGTGTGTGTGTGTGTGTGTGTGTGTGTGTGTGTTTAAGGCATGATTTAGTATCACTAATTTTATCTCATGAATGCCAATAAATTAAAAGTTGAGTTGCAGAAAGTAGCTTGAGAATACAAAAATAACACTATAGTTTGATTATTTTTTAGTTCCATGAATTGTTTATATGTGGAATCTTAAAATAAACTGTTTTCAAGATGCCCTCAGGCTACATCCCTCAATGAACATATTTTCAAAGAGAACAGATACAGAAGTATCATTTTAAATTCTGATCTTGACGAAACATTGTGAGTAAACATAGGTAAAACATACCCAGTATTTCTGTTTTAAGATAGCAAATTCTCCTTGTAACACATGGACACACATATATGCAGATATACATTTATCTAGATCTCTCTCTATATATAGGAAATTATTAAATAAAATTATACATTTGAAATAAGAGCATTAATTCATGAAAATCATGCCAAATACATGAATGCAAAGCTTTTCAAAACTTTTTCTGTCTTAGAGCAAATGTAAAATTCAAAAGTTCCAGGTATGTAAATGAAAACAGCCTAGCTAAAAGGAAAAAAAAAGAAGCCAGTTAAAAGTATCTTCTCAAACATTCTAGGGTGCCCCAGGATGAACCATTTAGAAAGCCAAGATCAGAGCAGATCTCTGAATGTAGATCAAGTTTTATCAAAGCCAACTACTTGGTCTGCAAGTGGAACAAAAGACATAGTTTAACAAATGCAGAAATAATGAGGGTTTCAGATTTCTAACCGAGGCTCCAAAAGATATACTCCAGTCTAAAATATCAAAGCATGGGAGTTCACAACTGAAACTGTACTATTGCCACATAGAATTTCTGCATACCATAGGCAGAATTTATAAAAGCAAAAATTTCAGTCACTTCCTCTTTGTATTTCTCTAATGAGAAGAAAATATATACTAGATCTAGCCTACAAGAAATTTGCAAATTTCAGTATTTATGTTGGTTGACCCAAGAAATCTGTTGATTCTATGGAAAATTAAACTCATTACTCTCCCGCAGATTCTCAAGATGCTAAATTTCAAAATACTGGCACCAGTCACCAAAAGACCATATTTCAAGGTTGCAAATTTGAAGTTGTGTCTTGGGTGATGGTAATATGTTACAATGAAATATAAAAATGCATATAAATAATAAGGATAACTTAATTAATTATGCAAAACTTTGTTTTGAGATCTCAAAATAACTTCAATCACTTTCTTGTCCATCTGGTTCCGAGCATATGAAATAGAATCAGATCTATATCATCATGAATTCATGTGCTTGATCTTCTATTTGTTATCTAGGTGATTTAATTCATATCAATCTCAATTTCCACGTATTATCATTGAGAATACTATTATTACTCACCTTGTAGTTAAGATGAAATAATAAAACTAAACTACAGTGGTTTATTGGATACCTTAAAAATGTAGTCATTACTATAATGTTATTAATACCTTCACATTAAGTATGTAACAATTTGAATGTTCAAAAAATTATATAATGACTTCTTTATTAAATAAATATGCATTTTCATTTTCAATGTATATCCATTATGTTGTCTTTTGATTGCTGAAAAAAAAAATTTTAACAATTAAAGCAATAGTTGCCCAGATTGGTTCCAGATGTCAGAGTAGAAGGACATGCACTCACTCCCTCTTGCAAGAGCACAAAAATCACAACTAAATGCTGAATAGTCATCGACAGGAAGACACTGGAACTCACCAAAAAAGATACCCCACATCCAAAGACAAAGGAGAAGCTGCAGTGAGACGGTAGGATGGGTGCAATGACAATAAAATCAAATCTCATAACTGCTGGGTGAGTGACTCACAAACTGGAGAACAATTATACCACAGAAGTCAACCCAGTGGAATGAAGGTTCTGAGCCCCATGTGAGGCTTCCCAAACTGGGGGTCTGGCAATGGGAGGAGGAGTTCCCAGAAAATCAGACTTTGAAGTCTAGAGGAATTTGATTGCAGACTTTGACAGGACTGAGAGAAACAGAGACTCCACTCTTGGAGGGCAAACACAAAGTAGTGTGTGCATCAGGACCCAGGGGGAAGGAGCAGTGACCCTATAGGAGACTGAACCAGACCTACTTGCTAGTGTTGGAGGGTTTCCTGCAGAGGCAGGGTTTGGCTGTGGCTCACCACGGGGACAAGGACACTGGCAGCAGAAGTTCTGGGAAGTACTCCTTGGCATGAGCCCTCCTGGAGTCCACAACTAGCCCAATCAAAGAGCATGTAGCCTCCAATGCTTGGTCACCCGAGGCCAAAAACCCAACAAGGAGGGAACACAGCCCCATCCAACAACAGACAAGCAGATTAAAGTTTTACTGAGTCCTGCCCACCAGAGGAACAACCAGCTATAACCACCACCAGTTTCTCACAACAGGAAGCTTCCACAAGCCTCTTAGACTTACCTACCAGAGGGCAGACAGCAGAAGCAAGAAGAACTACAATCCTTCAGCCTGTGGGACAAAAACCACACTCACAGAAAGATAGACAAAATGAAAAGGCAGAGAACTAAGTACCAGATGAAGGAACAAAATGAAACCCAAGAAAAACAACTAAATGAAGTGGAGATAGGCAACTTCCAGAAAAAGATTTCAGAATAATGATAGTGAAGATGATCCAGGACCTCAGAAAAGAATGGAGACAAAGATCAAGAAGATGCAAGAAATGTTGAAAAAAGATCTAGAAGAATTAAAGAACAAACACCTAGAATAATTAAAGAACAAAAAAAAAAGATATGGACTATACAATAACTGAAATGAAAAATACACTAGAAGGAATCAGTAGCAGAATAACTGAATCAGAGGCATGGATTAGTGACCTGGAACACAGAATGGTGGAATTCACGGCAATGGAACAGAATAAAGAAAAAAGAATGAAAAGAAATTAAAACAGCCTAAGAGACCACTGGGACAACATTAAATGTACCAACATTCTCATTATAGGGGTCCCAGAAGGAGAAGAGAGAGAAAGGACCCGAGAAAATATTTGAAGAGATTATAGTCGAAAAATACCCTAACGTGGGAAAGGAAATAACTACCCAAATACAGGAAGTGAAGAGAGTCCCAGGCAGGATAAACCCAAGGAGAAACATGCCGAGACACATAGTAATCAAACTGACAAAAATTAAAGACAAAGAAAAATTATTAAAAGTAGTAAGAGAAAAACAACAAATATCATACAAGGGAACTCCCATAAGGTTAATAGCTGATTCCTCAGCAGAGACTCTAGAATCCAGAAGGGAATGGCATGATATATTTAAAGTGATGAAAGGGAAGAACGTACAACCAAGATTACTCTACCAGCAAGGATCTCATTCAGATTCGATGGAGAAATCAAAAGCTTTACAGACAAGCAAAAGCTAAGAGAATTCAGCACCACCAAACCAGCTCTACAACAAATGCTAAAGGAACTTCTCTAAGTGGGAAACACACAGAAAAAAAGGACCTACAAAAACAAACCAAAAACAATTAAGAAAATGGTAATAGGAACATATATATCAATAATTACCTTAAATGTGAATGGATTAAATGCTCCAACCAAGACACAGGCTCACTGAATGGATACAAAAACAAGACCTATCTATATGCTGTCTACAAGAGACCCATTTAAGACCTAAGGACACATACAGACTGAAAGTGAGGGGATGGAGAAAGATATTTCATGCAAATGGAAATCAAAAGAAACCTGGAGTAGCCATACACATATCAGACAAAATAAACTTTAAAATAAAGAATGTTACAAGAGATAAGGAAGGACACTATGTAACGATCAAGGGATCAATCCAAGAAGAAGATATTACAATTATAAATATATATGCACCTAACATAGAAGTAGGTCAATACATAAGGCAAATGCTAACAGCAATAAAAGAGGAAATTAACCGTAACACAATAATAGTGAGTGACTTTAACACTTCACTTACACAAATGGACAGATCATCCAGACAGAAAATTAATAAACACAAGCTTTAAATGACACAATAGATCAGAAAGATTTAATTGATATTTACAGGACATTCCATCCCAAAACAGCATATTACACTTTCTTCTCAAGTGTACATGGAACATTCTCTGGGATAGATTACATCTTGGGTCACAAATCAAGCCTCGGTAAATTTAAGAAAATTGCAATCATATCAAGCACCTTTTCTGATCAAAACACTATGAGATTAGAAATAAATAACAGGGGAAAAAAGTAAAAAACCACAAACACTTGGAGGCTAAAACATATGTTACTAAATAACCAAGAAATAACTGAAAAATCAAAGAGGAAATCAAAAAATACCTAGAGACAAATCACAACAAAAACATGATGATCTAAAACCTAGGTGATCCAGCAAAAACAGTTCTAAGAGACAAGTTTGTAGCAATACAATCTTACCTCAAGAAACAAGAAAAATCTCAAATAAAAACCCTAAACTTACATCAAAAGGAACTAGAGAAAGAAGAACAAACAAAACCCAAAGTTAGTAGAAGAGAAGAAATCATAAACATCAGAGCAGAAATAAATGAAATAGCAACAAAGAAAACAATAGCAAAGCTAATAAAACAAATAGCTGGTTCTTTGAGAAGACAAACAAAATTGTTGAACCTTTAGCCAGACTCATCAAGAAAAAGAGGGAGAGGACCCAAATCAATGAAATTAGAAATGAAAAAGGAGAAGTTACAATGGACACTGCAGAAATACAAAGCATCATAAGAGACTACTACAAGCAAATTTATGCCAAGGACAACCTGAGAG